TCTGTCGATGTTCCCTTGAGCAAGGCACTTAACCGTAATTGCTCCTGTAAGTCGCTCTGGATAAGAGCGTCTGTTTAAATGTAAATATTCTTAATGTGATCTATAAGGAAAACAAATGTTGTGTAAAAATTCACAACAAAATAACACAATTCTTCAGTCAGGACAGAGGAGGTTGCAATATGAGTCCAACCTTAATCAATGTTTCTATAAAAATCTCTGGGACACCCTAGAAGACAAAGAAATAAAGTTGATTTTATATGCCGATGACTCAGTAATCTTTTCACCAACAGAACATGGGCTAGAACAGTTTTGTATGGACTAGGCACTATCCGTTAATGTGGAAAAATCTGTTCATCTGGGTGGTTTGACATCCATTACAGACCCTGTATAAATTTAACCCACCAATTAGAATTCGGCTTAAATGATTTGACACTCCCTTACAAAAGAAGATTGCAGCTTTGAAACTGCAGTAAAAGTGATGTAACTGCAGTCGACTGTGGTATTTTGGATGCAGTATTTGCAACATACTGCAGTTAGACTGCACTTTAACTGCAGTTATACTGCATTGTACTGCAGTTATACTGCATTGTACTGCAGTTACAGCATACTGCACTCTGACTGCAATATCTTTTCGTAAGGGACTCTGTCATCCCCCCTCCCCCCCTCCCAAATTGTAAAGTGGTTATCCCACTGGCTATAGGGTGAACGCACCAATTTGCGAGTCGCTCTGGCTAAGAGCGTCTGCTAAATGACGTTAATGTGCCCTTGAGCAAGGCACTTAACCCTAATTGCTCCTGTAAGTCGCTCTGGATAAGAGCGTCTGCTAAATGACTAAAATGTAATGTAAAATGTATAACTCCAATCCTTCTATATGTCAGCAAATTGTGGGGCCCCTTACACCATAGGATAGAAAGCCCACTGAAATTTGACACCAGGAATTTTATAAAAATATTGCAGGTGTGGACAGAAATGCCCCAAACCTAGCCTGTAGGGAGATTCCCCCTAGCATAGCCTAGGCAACCGATAGTGAGCGCTAGATCTGCACTATCTGTCTAGGATTGATGTGCATTCCCGGTAATACACTTGTGTCCCCACTACCCCGTGGACCGGCTCGTACATAAAGCATCCTCCATATCGGTCGCAAAGGCATAATTGTCCTCCTTGACTAGCTTTAATGGCTGCCGGAAAGAAAACGAGGAAAATATGTCTTACTGTCTTAATAAAACACAATTTTCCAATTTTCTGACAATTTAGGATGTTGCACACCACGTTCAGACAAGAGTGACCCTTTAGAGCAACTGTCCCAAAAGCACCAGCTAAATTAAACCATTCGACCACAAATAACACAATTCTAACTACTAGAAATCTGGAACCAAAATACATACACTAATATTGGCAAAAACTAAATTATATTTAATCACAAACTTACGACGTTACCAAATTCTAAATAGAGGTATCAAATTAGCACAACACCTTGTCAAAATTAAAGAATTCAAACAAAGGAAGACATTAACAATGTACAGACTCTGTGACCATAGCCACAGAGACAGGACGCCATAGAAAAACATGGAAGGTCAGAGAAGAAAGACTATGTCAGCACTGTGGGTCAGGTGACGTACAGGAGGACCAGCCCTTCCTACTCCACTGCTGCATATGTGACTCAGAGGTATTTACCTCCTGGAATGTAAAGAATGAATTGCAGGATTTCTTGAACTGCCTGTTGAGGAGAAAATCTGCATTTTGTTAGGATAAAACATAGACAGAAGATCTAGCTGCAGATTATGTCCTGACCTGTCATAATATTAGAGACAATAGATCTAGCTGCAGATTATGTCCTGACCTGTCATAATATTAGAGACAATAGATCTAGCTGCAGATTATGTCCTGACCTGTCATAATATTAGAGCACTTCTAGATTTACTTTCTCAATTGTTGATGTTTGTTTCTTTTTTGTGTATTATGTAGAATTGTATTTGTTGATATTATTATTGTTGCAAACAAATTTT